GTGTGTGTGTGTGTGTGTGTGTGTGTGTGTGTGTGTGTGTGTGTGTGATTTGGATACATGTGTGTGTGTGTGTGTGCATGTAAGTGTGTGTACCAGTAACGGATCATTAAGTTTGAGTCAGACTATTGGATGAAGCAACTTTTCCGTATCATCATAATTTAATTTTTGCAACCAGTTTGCCAACCTCTTCTTACATTCGAATTTATTCAACCCAAAAATGTGTAGCTCTCGATGGAGTTTATTGTAAAGCAAATATCCAAGGAAGCAGAAAAATCTGTGGCTAAAGGCAGTCCTCAGTCGGTCACAAGAGAGACCACTATGCAATTTCGCCTATCAGAGCCACTGTCATAAGGTGTAAGGGTGTGTTGTCTCAGCACCGTCCAGAGGACAAAAAGTTGCCTAACAATAAGAACTTGACAAAAGTCATAAAGATCCGTAGTAGGAAAATGGTACGGTTTGAAGCAGGTAACTTTTAGAATCACTCTTTGTGCTCGTTTCACAAGAATAAAATGAGTCCTAGCGGCCCCACCCCAGACGGAAATGCAATAAGTAAATAAGCTTTGTCCTAGAGCAAGGCATACCATTTTCATGATGTAGGGGTCTGCTACATGACGGAGAGACTTGAAGATGTAAATGAGCTTCCGAATGCGCGCTCATAATAAATTAATATGCTGTCTAAAATTAAGATTTGAGTCAATCAGCACTCCAAAGTATTTTATACTGTTTGTAATTTCTAAAAAGGTTATTGATACTGAAACGTGGTTGGAGATGACGGCAATTTTGAGTTGTGAGTTATCAGGTATAGTATGGTTGCGGATTGAAAAAGGGACGACATTTGTTTTTTCTGCATTAAGTGTGAGAAGATTGTCGTTGAGCCACCTCCTTACCACACTAAAACCAGCTTGTGTAGATTGATAGGTCTCATCTCAATCCGCACCAGAGAATATCAGCGCAGTGTCATCAGCGTATGAGAAAATTTTACAGTTCTGAAGCTGTAAATCACAATGGTCATTGATATATACTAGGAACAGTGTGGGACCCAGAATGCTTCCCTGTGGAAGTCCGAACGCAATGGGTTGGGCGTCGCTAGTATAGGCACCAATTTTTACATACTGAGTTCTCTCCGAGAGGTAGCTTTTAATATATCAAACTGTGGTCCCCTCAGTCCCAGTGATTGCAGCTTATATAATAGTCGGGGTATCGACACCGTATCAAATGCCTTGGCCAGATCCAGAAATAGGTACACCGAGACATCCACGTCGGTTATCCAAGTTGATGACCACATGATCAACTAACTGATGTACAGCATCTGCAGTCGTTCTACCCTTCCGAAATCCGAACTGGTTAACGGATAGAAGGTGAGTGGTTTCCAAAAAATTAACCAGCCTGTTGTTGAGAATGCGCTCAAGAATCTTTGACAAGGCTGATAGGACTGAGATGGGCGTATAGCTGTTGTGTGAAACGGCCCCGAGCCCCCGCCTTATATATAGGGTGTATAACCGCCGTTTTAAATTGTTCATGAAAAACTCCTGTAGATATACTGAGATTACAGATGTACGTGAGCGGCGGTATGATGAGGTTTTTGTATCGTCTTATAAGACTTCCAAAGATATCATCCCATCCCGTTGCACAATCTGCCTTTAGAGAGATAATTAATTGCTCCACTTCACGATCATCTGTCTCCAGCATAGCAAAAGATTTACCATTGAACCTCTCAGGCAGATTATAATTGGATCCCGAGTTCTGCATATTGGTGTGTGCCAAATTAGGGCCCACATTTACAAACAAATGGTTCACCAAATCAATCGGATTTCGAGGTGAACTTCCTACTTGCAAAATCAGCTATGTTTTTAGGTTTGTTTACTTTGGCAACTTTACCAATGGCTTCCCACAGTCGCCTTCCATCTCTGCCAGCCTTTCTAATTTCTTCCCTTTCGAAGTCTCGTTTTGCGTTTTTTATGCGAGCGTTACAAAAATGTCGATACCTCTTATAAGAGAGTTTGAGAATTTCATCATTAGGATGTTTTTTTAGTTTCCTATACAAATTGTCTCTATGCCTCATGCACTTTATTAGACCCGGGGTAATCCAAGGCTTCAGCGCTCTCCGCCTATGAGATACGCAATAGGATTTAGTGCATCTTTTAATGGCTAGACGAATAGGAAGAATCAAATATCGAGTAGCACCGTTTACATCATTAGTGGAATATACTGTGTCAAAATCTATTTGATTGATGGCTTCATCTAGTTCAATAAAGTCGATCCTGGGAATTTTGCTTGGTTTTATGCTTAAGGCATAAAACCAAGTCTGAATGAGGAATTTTAAAATCACAGTAGTCTACATTTTCTGTCGGGTTTGCTATGGTATCGACTTGTTCATTGCCAATTGTACTGGAATGTCCCGATACTTAACAGAACTCTATAGTGAAACCTTAATTGCATATTTCCTTAATTAGATTTCTTAAGTAGTAAATTAAGTAATTAACACGGCTATCAATAAGCTTATTCTTCAATAACAACAATGCACTCAAAGAATCGGATAAAATCAAATATTTAGAATTACTAAAGTTAGAAATTAAAATATAGTTTACAGCATAAATCATCGCCAAAACCTCTGCAGAAAAAATAGAAAATAAATTATTACAAATAAAAACTCTTTCACATTTTAATTGAAAATTATAAAAAGCTAAACTTGTCCTATCCTTAGTTGTAGAACCATCTGTATATACTTTAATGTAATCCTTCTTAGCATCTATATACACATAAAATTTTGCAACAATTTTGCGACAATTTTGGAGACCGATAAACAGCATCCTGAAATTCAAAATTCAGGTATGCTATGCAGTGGCTCAGAGAGGAGCTGTATTAAAGTCAGGAATGTCATAGTCTTCTAAAAAAATTTAAATTACAGGATTGTCGCAGCTAACTAATCTAAGACAAAACTTCTCAGTTAAAAAGCTCCTCCGGACAATAAGAGGAACTGCACCTGTTTCTACCTCAAGGGAATTTATAGGGGAGGACATCATAGCTCCTGAAATTATTCGCAAAGCTGTATTAATATTTAATTACGTAATTTTGAATTACGTCTAGCTTTCTGAGTAAATGATTAGCAGCATCGGCAAAAATATACATCCATGGTCAAAGTGGCTGCGAATGGCAGCAATATACAAGATTTTTAAAATCTTGGGATCAGCTCACCATTTCAACCCCACTAGAGATTTAAGGATATTTAAGCCTAACTCAGTCTTTTTGCAGATATGTAGAATATGTGGTTCCCAAGATAATTGAGGATCCAATATAATACCTAATACCTTTCTTTAGATTGGACTGGAAGCAAAAAGTCATTGCAATAAATTAAGGGCGTAAATGAGCATTTTGTCGCAAAAAGCATGACTGAACTTTTGCTTGTATTAACTTCTAATATTAATTAGGTTGACAACAGATTATGTAATGTAAAAAGACAATTGTTCATATTTTTTTGACCAAAATATATAATGTCGCATTCGAGATAAATTACTAAGTCATCTGCATAAAATGAATATCTCACGGACATTGGAAATTGATTGACAAGATTAACGAGGCTCAATATAAAATTTAAAGGTGACAGAACAGAACCCTGAGGAGTACCTTTATTTGTGGTTCTACAGCCAAAAAGATTATTTTTAATTTTCAAAGAAATATTTCTACCATTTCAAAATGAAAATATCCACAATAGAATAGGGCCTGGAGTGCCCAGATAAGAGAGACCCTTGATAAGACATGTATGATTTATATTGTCAAATGCG